GGGCGCTGTGTAGAATTGAGAAATAATTTCTGAGTTGTTAGAAGCCCCCACCTCTATAGGTGGTGGGTAGTTCACTACACGAGTTTTCACTACATTATTTATTTTACTATCGACTAGAGGCTTATGTTTTGTCAGAGACCTACCAAATCTGTATCTTTCCTGAAATACTTTTGTAGTAATTATGAGTAGCGTGTATGCGGTGCTAATTCAATATTTTTATCAATCTTTAAATCTTTTGTAACTTGTTCAGGAAAAAACAAGAAATTTTTTTTCCTCGCTGGCCTCAGCTTTTAATTTTTCAATAATTTCTTCACTAGTGTATGCTTATCGGGCTTTTTTGCCCCCCCTTATTTTTTAAAAAAAAAAGCAATTATATATAAATTTTACCCCACCAAAACACTAGTCAATTTTTCAAAAAAAATAAAAGGTTTTGAAAATTTTTAATTAAAAATAATTATTAAATTAGGTAAAATTATTTTCTGCTTTTAGTTTTAACTAAATTTTTTAAAATAATTTAAAAATAATAGAAAAAGGACGTTTTTTTTGCCCGAGTAATAAAAGCCAACCATATTTTTTTAGGGTAATTTTGTAAAAATTGCCAACTAAATTAATAAATTAAAAAATGCTATCAATGAAACAAATATCTTGTTGTCCCAGATAAAGACTCAATGTTTCCGCAAAAGAATTTTTTTAGAACCTTATGCTATTATTGTAGTAAAATTTTGCCTGGGTAATTTTCCCTTAAAAAGCGTCCGTGCCCTCGTGTAGGTATTCGTTGGGCTTTTTTAGCGGTGATTTTAACTTCTTTTTTTTTAATTTCAGTTTCCATAAAATTAGTTTATCATTTTAAATATTATTAAATATTTAAGGTCCGATTTAACTAAAATTTTTCTTGCGGTTTTTTTTGCCCGAAACGTAATTGCGAAGAATTAAAAAAGCAACCAAAAAAGAGAAAAGTTCATTTTTCTTCCGGGGGGGGTCCCTCTCTTCGTCGATTAACAAACGACAAATTCCCCAAAAGAGTAAAATTTCTTTCTTTTTCGATAGTTGAAACAAATCCTCCATCAGATTGTCTTGAGGATGAAGAAACGAAACAGAAAAAGTTAAAAGAATATGTTGATGAAGCAGCAAAGAAGTCTTCAGAGCATCTCGAGTTGCTTTTATTAGAAGAAGAAATGTTAAAAAAAATCGAAAAACACTATAAATACAATGTAAATAAAATTAAAATCTAATCATGAAAGTATATGGAGTAATCCCCAATAGAGAGAGGAGGGAGTTAATCAATTGAGCCAATTGAGCCACAATTTATTAAAAAGTTTAGGCAAAAGACTTAAAGGAGGATTTTTTTTGCTCCTTTTGCTTATCATTCTTAATAATTATCTCTCCTTTCTCATTTATTTTAATTTACGAATTAATTTGTCGAATTTTGGTAAGCTGGACGGGCAATTTTCTTATCTTTTAGGACGGTTTACTTTGACGGGCGGAGCAGAAATCGCTTGACTTAAATTACTAACTATTCTTTTTCTCATTTATTTTCCGGTCAAATTAATGACCCAATTAATTTTAGATTTTTCGCAGCAGTATTACGCCAGAAAAATCACGACTTATTTAACCAAAAACTTACTTGCTTTTGCGGTTGAAAACAAAGAAACACTAGTAACCAAAGAAAAGGAAAAATTGAGTGTTCTTATTGATTCGGTCCCTGATTTTTCGCAACAATTACTTTACCTTCTTAGTAATTTCACAGATATTACTATTGGTATTATCCTGGAATTGTTTTCGCTTCTTTTTCTTTTAACAACTCGTAATTTGTTTGACTTGGTTAGTTGAACTTTTGGTTTTAATTTCTTGGTTTTCATTAGTTTTGTTCTTTTTCACTTTTGTCTTAAAAGAGGCGTTCAGAAAAGGCAACAAGAAAGCTGGGATTGTCAGCAAGAAGAAAAAGAACAAATTCATAATTTTCTCGTTAGTTTAAAATGAGATTATTTGCCTTCTAATTATGAAAAAATACTGGCTGGGATTGATAATAACTCCCCCAGGATATTTCTTTCTTTTTTCCACTCGGTTATTTTTCGTCTACCCAACTTAATAATTCCTGGACTGGCCATTCTCTTTTTGTTTCTTTATGCTAACTTTTATAAGCCAGGAACACGTATTGATTGGAACATTTATTTAATTGCTCTGCATTGCCAGAATATATTTTGAAAAATTGGTCGCTGGTTTGACTTATTTCCGGCCGTCCATTCTTTCCGTCGGAATTACTTGCGGTTGCGAAGTTTTTTTGTTGACAACACAAAAAACGCAGCCCAGTTATTACGCCGGCAAAATTAATGTCAGTCTAATTTATTGTATTCCCTAGTATTCAAGTAAAGACACTGACAAACTTTTTGCACAGATTAATAAATAAGTATAAACCAGCGTAGAAAAATAAAAATCCTGAAAAAAATAGTTAGACGTGGAAAAAAACCACGAAAAGGTAACTTCATTTCCTTTTCATTGCCCTGCTTTTGTGCTTGTTAAAATTATATAGAATAATGAATAAATTTGCCTAGGTAGCTCAGTGGCAGAGCGTCCGGCTGTTAACCGGTTGGTTGTAGGTTCGATTCCTCCCCTAGGCGCCATTTTTTTGTGAGGGGGTTTTGCTGCTAATTTTAATTTATAAAGTTGTTCAAGAAATATTTTTTTCCCGACTTTTTCGTGATTTTCGGAAGCCGTGGCTCGCAAATCAGTTCACCAAAAAAAGCCTCAACAAAAGCCGGGAAAGACTAAAAATCCTCAATAACGTTACTCCAAAAAATAAGTGTAACCGTAAAATTTTTAAATAACGTTACCTTACAAAAACTGAACACCGGTCTTTTATTTTTGCCGCGGGCAAGAAAAATATCCTTTTTCTATTATTTTTAAATTATTTTAAATAATAAAGTTTTAAATACATTATTTTTTGTATTTGTCCTTTCCTGGTCCTGTAAATTTATTGTAATTTTTATGATTTGCAATTTGCAATTCCGCATTTCGGAAATTTTTCGGCTTCTAACAATTATCATAGTTGGTGGATTTGTAATTGCTTTCGGCTGCTTGCTAGAAATAATTTTTTCGTAGAATAATGATGCCGCTAGTAAACTGTTTTTATTAAATTAACTCTTTTTTGTTTTAATGGTTGAGAAATTTTGCGGAAATTTTAGAGAATTTTTCTGGATACGAATTAATAAGAAAACAGCATATTAGACACTTCAATTACCCCGACAGTTTCACCAACGACCCTTCCATAAACGCCCTTTTCTCCTCGCTGTGCCGTTCCACAGTAGAAGCCCGCCGAGAAAAATTATAATTATTGATAGCATCTACTCTGTTTTTTAACTCTTCTAACGCTACTCGTGGCAAAGAAACCCGAACCAACTTTCATATACTCATTGGTCGCAACAGGAGCATTTGATTTGGCCTTTTTCGTTGAGTTCTTCATCCGAATAAACCACCAATCTACCTAATTAAATTAATCTCCGGCCTAGTTCTTTTCTTATTTCAGGAATAGAATCATGAATGCTTTTTGCTTCCTGTTTATTCAGTTGCAAGCTAAAATTAGAAGGACTATTCCTATATTTTTCGACCATAAACTTGATGATTGCTATAACGTATACTCCGCAATCATTTCCATTCTTTTGTTGGGGCGTTACTTCACTTTTGAGATTATTTTTAGATACTCCTAACTTGACGAGAACTTGCTCACAGAAAGGACGAAAAAACTCAAAATTAAACCCAGCTAGAGAGTCGTAGTGGTGAAACATTCTATTGCTGTGTTCGTATACTAACAAAGATCAATGGAGATTTTCTCTATTCGCCGGTATAAATATTAACTTGTTTCTACTTAACTTTTTTTTAATTATACTATCGATTGAGAAAAAAATTTTCTCTTTGCTGCATTTCACTATACCTCCTAGATAAGTAGGGTCAAGAAGTACAAGTACGTCTGTTTTTTTGATAAAACTGTTTCAATATTCAAGTATATCGTTATCATTCAATCAACCTTGTTTAATTTTTTCCGCTTGTCTTTCGCATTTATTGCTCTTTTGTTTAGACACTCACCCTTCCTTCGCTTCATTTGATATCTCCATCTTATTTTGATTTCTTAACAACAGAAAAGTGCTGGCTAAAGTTAAGACAAATATCAAAAAAAACAGCAGGTTGTGTTTTTTTTTTTTTTTTTTTTTTTTGCTGACATTTTATTAAATTACTTTTTATGGATAATTAAGGCTTGTTGTTGATTCTCTAGTTTAAGTTTATCAAATTTAGCTTGCAAATGGTGAAGTTTTTTTTCAAAATTAAGTCATTCTTGACTGATTTTTTGAAAAAATGAAGAATTCTCAAAGAAAAGAACAAAGCATTTAAGCAATTATTTTTCACTTTTGAATAGCGAAGAGGACTGGTTAAAAATTAAAGATTTTATTGACGGAGAAATTAATCCTGGATTAAAAGAAAATCTCACTAAAATGTGCGATGCTTCTTCCTCTCTCGCTGAATTTGAGATTTCTTTAAAAGAGTATACAAAATTGATGGTTGTTGGGTGGGAACTTGGCTGTAAATGAAAAGAGATGGGGGAGCGTCTTGGTAAAAATCCTAGTTGCCAAATGAAGGGAGAAGAATTTTTCTTCCGGGAAAAAAAAGAGGGCTTGCCTCCTTTTCTTTTAACTTTTTTTGTGCTGTGGAGTTAAAGGAGACTTAATTAGATTGTAAAATAACATCATTCTTTGTTTTTGAAATTTTAGCAAGAATGACAATAGTAACTGTGTTTATCGTTCCCCTCATTAGTTTTTTTGTCAGGTGATTAAAATCCAGTAATGAGCGGGAAAGCAATCAATAAAAATTTCAAAAAATCGTTTAATCATTTCTCTTTCTTGTAAAAAAGGAATGTAGTAATACTTGGCTTTTGTAATTTCTCATAAACTACCATAATTTTGGATACGGCTATAGTAATTAAAATAAAGAATTATGAAAAAAGAGTTTAGCATTTTACAAAGCGGCAATATTTATCCTAAACAGCCAGAAGACTCCCACTTCCATAAGTGGGGGATGAATGGCCAACGCAACTTCTTAACTAATTC